AACGGCCGCCGCCGCCTTAGCTGGGAGAGGTGCGTTCTGTTGGGCGTTGCTCAGGCTGGCTTTGAGAGGAGACGATTGCGTGGTCAGTGCTATAATGTCTCGGAGATGATCTATGGTGGAGCATCAAAATGCCTGCGGTTTTTTTTTTTTACGTGCTCTTCAGGCGTTTCTGTCCCCGTGATTGGCTTTCTGCTGCGTGAGCAGTGCAGTGAAACTTTTCTTACTGCCAGCGTCTTCCGAGTTAAAATTTGAGATCAGGAGGGGCGATTTTTACATTATTGTTTAGTAGCTTAGTTGGCCGTTTGGACTTGAATGTGGAATACATCCCTTCTGCTATACAAAGTGTGCTTTTTGTGATCTGGTACGTCTCACTTTGAAGAGTGAGAAGTGTCTGTCTTGCCATAATTAATCATAGTTTGTAAAACATACCAATAAAGGATTCATTTAATTATCCTGTATTAGTAGGAAAAAACCACCCTTTTTCTTCCTGCGAGTGCTTTTGGAGGGTTGACAGGGTAAATTTGAGGCTCTTACTTTCTCACTCTATGATTTCCTTATCTCTTCTCCCTCACCCCGTTTGAAAACGTGTCTGTAACGGTGAAATTTGTCTTTCTGTGAGTATCCCAAGTATTGTATAAATAAGAGTTTTCTTACCTTTAATGAAGTTTATTATTTGAGGGTTTGTCTTCTTTAAAAAATGTTTGTACTTTTATTGTAAGTCTGGTACTGTGACTGCTAGTGAAACAACTATAATATCAACACTTGATTTGTCTTTCTAGGTTTTGTTTTACCCCACCCCGTCAATTTAATTTTATTCTTTTGAAGATTCTTCGTTGTCAAGCCGCCAAAGTGGAGAGTGCGATTGCAGAAGGGGGTGCTTCTCGTTTCAGGTACTAGTGGGGTTTTTTGTTTGATGAACACTTAGCAGCAGAAACTCTCCTTTGAGGAGAATTTAAATTTCTCTTATGTTAATACAAAAACTGACAGGTAGTTGAAAGCATTGGGATTTTGAACTTATACAAGATTACATGGGTTTTTTTTGACAGTGCTTCTTCAGGCGGAGGAGGTGGTAGGGGTGCACCTCAGCACTATCCCAAGACTGCCAGCAACAGGTATGTCATCTTACTCTTTGATTTAGCCTGATTTTTAAAGGCAGAGAGTGCTTGATGGTGAATACTGCGTTGAAAATAGTGTCTCTTTAAAGTTGTACTTGGAATACGTACAGAGTTTGTGATGTGTTAATGTCCTCTAGCCTGTGGCAGGATAGCATATAATTGGAAGCGTGCATCATGAGTGACATGAGGTGCACAGACGTCTTCATACATTTTGCTTAAAAACTTAGAGGATTTTCTTGGGTGTCTCTTTTATTATTGTTGAGGGAATACTTTACTGTGCAACAGATGTTTCATTGTTGGTAGGGGTAAGTGCATCCTCTTAACAAAGCTAGTAAAAGAATTAGCCTAGGTAAGGCAACACTGAGAGGTTAAAAGGACAGTTCTTGAGAATGTTTCTGTTTGACAGTCATTCTTGAATTTTACAGCGAGTTCCTGGGGAAAACCCCAGGGCAAAACGCTCAGAAATGGATTCCTTCACGAAGCACTAGACGAGATGACGACTCCGCAAATGACAAAGAACGACATGATGCAATCTTCAGGAAAGTAAGAGGGTAAGTACTTTGCAAGATTATTTATTTCTTACTGTGTTCTTCAGCAATATATATTTCTAATAAATGGGCTGGAGGAAGGGAAGACCATGGGTTTTGAGTTCAGGGTGTGGGGGGGGAAGTGTCCTTTGGAGGTAAGGAGGCAGAAACTGATAGGCCAGCAGCAGCAAACACTTGAACTAATTCTTGTGAAATGGTTAACCTTTGCAGTGATACTTTGCATTCTAAAGATCAGCCAAAAAATTGTTGTAGGGAAAAAAATTTTTGTTTAGTAGACTTAAGAAGTAAAGGTAAGCTTGGTCTAAAATTACTTGTATCATTCTTACAGCATCTGTAATCTGGATTTTTATTTGTTCCTCTTCAGCATACTAAATAAGCTTACTCCTGAAAAGTTTGACAAGCTATGCCTTGAGCTCCTCAATGTGGGTGTAGAATCTAAGCTCATCCTAAAAGGGGTCATACTGCTGGTAAGCTGTCTGTATTTCTTTTAACTACAGTTTTCTTGCATGTTGAAAAAGAGACGGGCTGGTTTGGATGGGATGTAGAAGTAACATGGCTGATATGTTTGGTAATCCAGACATACAGAAACATCCTTTTTGTGTAAAAAGGATGTGCTGGGGAGGAAGTAGTCTTAATGTTCTAACTTTGTTATAGGAGTCTCAGGAATTGCTAAATGTGATTGGGGATTTTTTGTTTGTTATTTTAATAATCGAAGATGCTGGTTAGCAGTCTTACTTCCCTGGCTCCCTTTTCCTGTTTTCCTGATGAACGAGCCTAATGGTCTCTAAAACTACCACAAGTGACCTCTTGGTACACTGATTTGACTGTCATGTCATTGTTTAATCTGAGATGGGATTGGCAATACTAATTTTACTGTTCTGATGATAAACTTCAAATTTGTCCCATTTGTTAGCTAAGGATTGTAGAAGCTCTTTGGTAGCATAGAGTAGCTTTTTTTTCCTTTGCGTTAGCGCTAGTGTCCTTTTTCCTGTATGTATTATGAAATAGCAAAAAATGGTTAGATGTTGTAGATCATATAGAGTAGTAATATTCTTTGTGTGTCTTGTGACTCAATTTCCTAAAACTTTTGCATCCTACTGCATGTTACCTTACTGAAAATAAATTTATTTAGATCGTAGACAAAGCCCTTGAAGAGCCCAAGTATAGCTCACTGTATGCTCAACTATGTCTGCGGCTGGCAGAAGATGCACCCAACTTTGATGGCCCATCAGCAGAGAGTCATCCAGGACAGAAGCAAAGCACAGTGAGTATCTCTCTCAATGTGGAATGATAAATTTTCCTAACATCTATAGTTACACTGCTTAGCTGAATTGCCTTTTTCTCTTTTCTTAGACATTCAGACGCCTCCTAATATCTAAACTTCAAGATGAATTTGAAAACCGAACCAGAAATGTTGATAGTAAGCTCTAAAACCACTTTAATACAGAAATTTTTTTTCACTTTCAACAGTCATATTAAACAGGCTTCTTTGTTTTGCAGTCTATGATAAGCATGATGGTCCCCTCCTCCCTGAGGAGGAGGAACAGAGAGCTATTGCCAAGATCAAGATGCTGGGGAACATCAAATTCATTGGAGAACTTGGCAAGCTTGATCTTATTCATGAATCTATCCTTCATAAGTGCATCAAAACAGTAAGTGTTCAGATTGGGTGGAGGCTAACAGCAAAATAGGACTTCTAAACTAAAAAATGTAAATGCTCATGCTGCTTTGTGAGTCTTGGAGCATAAAACCACCACAAAAATGTTTCCTGTCAATTATCTCCCTCTGCACTGTTTGAAATAAACAGACTTTTGGTATGATTAGAAAGGAAAACTGGGTTTGTTCAAAGCTATGGGGATTGTCTCCAAGTGAATATGTAGTTTGGCCTAGACAGAAGTATCACAGGTACTTGAAGGTACATACACTTACAAATAAGTACTTAAATTAGCAGTTCTTAAACTCATTTTCAAATCCATTTGTCTTGTAACACTGAAATGTTTCTGCATGTACCTCTCTACTAAGTTGATACTTAAAAATTGTCATTTATAATATGTTGAAAAACGTAATTCTCCTTTAATATTTCAGCTTTTGGAAAAGAAGAAGAGAGTCCAACTCAAAGATATGGGGGAGGATTTGGAGTGCCTCTGTCAGATAATGAGGACAGTGGGACCTAGATTAGACCATGCAAAAGCCAAGGTATGTGCATATCCACTGCAGTCATCAAACTAGTTAAATTCTGTGGCTAAGACTTTTAATTGCCTCAGCCTTCTGTATTCAGTGTTCCTTTCATAAGTACAAAACTGAGGTCCGACTTTCAGAGAGCAGGAGTGCCAGCTATTGCTCCTGCATTGAATCTCTTGATAGCAAAAAGGAGCCCATCTTTGAAATGGTTTTAAATGTCTTTCCAGAATGCAGTTAGGGTCATTAGGAAGTCATAAAAGTGAGAATATTTTTCTAAATGCTGCTTGAAAAGATGTGGTGAGGGACTCTATTCTGAACAGATCTAGGTGATCTAAAAGATGTGTTGTGGAGCTTGACTTGCAAGTTCTGAATGTAAATTTGAAATAGTGTCACAGTAATGAGAATTTAGGCAGGTTTTATCTTAAGACAGATGAGATGTCTTCATGCACTAGTTTTCCTTAAGCTCTACTGCCATCAAGAAGATCCAGATGGCAGGAAAGGGCAGTCTGTTCTGTTGTTTGATCTTAGGTGTCTTGAATGTGGTCACCTTTCTTGGAAATACTCAAGACATTGATAGAATTATTGAACATGAACATAACTTTTGTTTCCCCAGTCCTTAATGGATCAGTACTTTGCCCGTATGCGCTCCTTGATGTCAAGTAAGGAATTGCCAGCAAGGATTCGTTTCCTGCTGCAGGTATGATCATAAAATGCTTACTGCTTCCTTTTTTTCACAAAGTTGTCTTGAATCCTTTGTTGATAACTCATTATGTTCCAAGGATACTGTGGAGTTGAGAGAACACAACTGGGTTCCTCGCAAAGCTTTTCTTGACAACGGACCAAAGACTATCAATCAAATCCGTCAAGATGCAGTAAAAGTAAGCGTTGCATGTAAAGTCTTGTGCTTGGCTTTTGCTTAAGTGTTAAAAGTGAATGCTTATGCTGTTTATTCCACATCACAAAACTTAGGCCGTGTGCTTAAGAGTAGTTCCCTCAGGCGAGTGTGACTGTAAGGGGTTAAGAGTTAAAATCTTATGGACTTAAGAGTTCAGGGCTAAGAATGGGACTTTCTCAGGGTCTAATACTCAAAAGTGACCAAAATTGTAATTCCTGTTTTAAAGGATCTGGGAGTTTTTATTCCTGCTCCTATGTCTCAAGGGATGAGAAGCGACTTCTTTCTGGAGGGACCCTTTATGCCACCTAGGATGAAACTTGACAGGGACCCCCTCGGAGGGCTTGCTGATATGTTCGGACAAATGCCAGGTACACCGAAACTGCAAGGCTGATGTGATGGCTGAGGCTGTACTGTATTGAACAAGAAGTAAAATTGTCCTTTGTCTCATTAATAACACAGGTAGCGGAATTGGTACTGGTCCAGGGGTTATTCAGGATAGATTTTCACCCACCATGGGACGCCATCGTTCAAACCAGCTTTTCAATGGCCATGGGGGTCACCTCATGCCTTCTGCTCAATCCCAGTTTGGAGACCTAGGCAAATCTTTTCTGAAAAGTCAGGTAAGGAAGATGTTGTTCACAGGGTGACTTCAGCATGTTTAGAAGCTCTTCTACAGATGCGTATGTTATGGATTATAGTCTGCTTATGTTGAAGGACTTCTTCAGAATTGATTCTGATAAGAACTGGTGCTCAGCTGATACAAAAATTCTAAACCACTCTAAATTGTGTAAGATGCAAGGAATACACTTTTTTAAACTGCAAGAAGAGGTGCATGTGGCTTTGGTGGGTCAGAATGGTGTCTTTAAAATTTGAGAGCCCTGTTTTTAGGGATAGATGCTGCTCTCCCACCACCCCTGCTCCTTCTTTCTCCCTTCCTGGCAAATAGAATCTTTGTTCCTCTGGTCCCTCTGGTACTACTTACCATATGATGTACGCCACTCCATCATCTGCACTTCTTTCTCTATATCTCCCTTTCTGAAATAGGGGCAAAGCCAGCTCTACCATAACCAGAATCAGGGACTCTTATCCCAGCAACAAGGACAGTCGAAGGATATGCCACCTCGGTTTTCTAAGAAAGGACAGCTTAATGCAGATGAGGTACATTACATGCCTACATTACTTAAAGCCTATTCTAAATATTGCCCAATGATTATAGCAAGACGCGTTATTATGAGGACTAATGCTGGAACTCTTTCTCCTTCTCCTCCTTCTTTGTCCCTTCCTCTTTCACCTTGTCCCTCCCTTTCCTTAGGGTATCCAGCGTCCTATGAGCAAGACTGAGATATGAGGGCAATTTCATGGGGTTGTCCCTTCCTTCCCCCACACCTCCCCAGGAACACTACTCTGACATCAGTTCCCATGCATCATATTGATAATGATACATTTAATTAAAACTTCAGAAAATTCCTGAACTTTAGAAACTTTAAAATCCCTGAAGTGCTAGACCAGGCTAAATTTTTTTTTTTGAACTGGCTAATAGGCAAAATGTCAAATGCAAAGTAAACTGCATTGTTACTTTGAGCATTAACCGGACTTGTATCCTGATTTCTGAGCAATTGCTAGAGTTTTATCTTGGCTATAAAATACATCAGCAAACATGCTAAGTATTTTCTTGGGTCTCTAACATACTGCATCTAAAAGGAGCAATTCCAGATCTTGATAACCAATGCAATGAAGTACCAGTAATTGCAGCAGGCTGGATTCACTGAGTTGTGCTTTTGGGGGAATTTCAGTACACATGTGGCTTAGTCTGTATTTTAGTGTTAACATTCTGGAAACTGAAACATGATGTTTCAGTGGGATCAGTTGGTGTGAGTCCATGGCTGTGTATGCTTGGTCAGAATACTTGAAACAGTTTGAGTTTTTTTCTGATTTATCCTGTTTACAGATTAGCCTCAGACCTGCTCAGTCTTTTCTAATGAATAAAAACCAAGTGCCAAAGCTTCAGCCCCAGATAACTATGATTCCTCCCAGTGCACAACCACCACGCACTCAGACACCACCTTTGGGACAGGTAAATATAAAATTTACTGTATATTGTTGGCTTCATGCATGTAGAACTTATATCGGCTTCTAATAAGGGAGGAGAGAGAAGTCTTCCATTGCACAGAGCAGAATATATGAAAATAATGTCTGAAAACCTAATTTGACTTTGATCTGCCCTTGTGCATAGCAATATTAACCTTGATGTAAGTGTAGGTAGAGGTACTGCAAAGAAACAAATTCTGGTACTGTCTTTTTCAGCCTCCTCAACTTGGTCTTAAAACAAATCCACCGCTTATACAAGAAAAGCCTGCAAAGACCACCAAGAAACCACCTCCTTCTAAAGAAGAGCTACTTAAACAAACTGTAAGTTAAGTATATAATGTGTATGTTGTATATGCTCTTTAAAAATGAACGTTTGTTGAACTACGCATTTTTCTTTAGGAAGCTGTTGTGACTGAGTATCTGAACAACGGAAATGCTAATGATGCTGTCAATACTGTGAGAGAAATGAGAGCTCCAAAACACTTCATTCCTGAGATGTTGAGCAAAGTAATCCTTCAATCCCTAGATAGATCAGATGAAGACAAAGAGAAAGCAAGTACTCTGATCAGCTTGCTCAAGCAGGAGGGAATAGCCACAAGTGACAACTTCATGCAGGTACAGCAGCCTAATAGGCTCCCGGTCCTTGTTGTTTGTGTGTTTGTTATGTTTAGCTTGCATAAAAGTGGTGTGCAAATTCTTCTAAATCCTGTTGATCTGAGGAGTTAAAAATAACATATAAACCTGTGTGGGGCATAAGAGGTGATGAAAGGAAGAAATGTAGATACAGGATTTCGGGAACTGGAAATGAGGAGTCTCCTTGCAAGTGATTCAGTGCAGAAATGTAAGGCTCCTGCGTAGTAGGAGTAATACTGTGCACAAGAATAAAATTAGCTCCGAATGTGAACTTGTGTGTGTTTCCTGTTTCTTAGGCAAGTGCCCCAAACTGGAGGTGGACATCCCATTGGTGAAATCCTACTTAGCACAGTTTGCAGCCCGTGCCATTATTTCAGAACTGGTGAGCATTTCCGAACTGGCTCAACCACTGGAAAGTGGCACCCATTTCCCTCTCTTCCTGCTTTGCCTTCAGCAGTTAGCTAAGTTGCAAGATCGTGAATGGCTAACAGAATTGTTCCAACAAAGCAAAGTGAATATGCAGAAAATGTTACCAGGTAAGAGTTACCACATAGCACTTAATGACGCCTGATGTTAGCATATGCAAGATTATTTTCCTTTAGTTTCTAACACTAGAGTAAAATAAGATATAAGGTTATTTTGATGCAATCAACTGTTACGATTAAGAATGGTGTTTCTTAAGAGGTGGTTAGACCCCTGAACCATTGAGTATAGGTTTTGATTAGTACCAGCACTTAGTGTGTCTGTCTTATTTACTTGTCAGAAATTGACCAGAACAAGGACCGCATGCTGGAGATCTTAGAAGGGAAGGGGCTTAGCTTCTTGTTCCCGCTTCTGAAACTGGAGAAGGAACTGCTAAAGCAAATAAAATCGGATCCATCCCCTCAAGCCATCTATAAGTGGATTAAAGATAACATTTCACCCAAACTTCATGTAGATAAGGGATTTGTGAATATATTGATGACCAGGTGAGATGCTGTCTTGATACAGTTTATGTACGTGTTCTGTTAAGCTACTAGTAAGTCACTAACTCTGGAAAAGCTGACATGTAGCTCTGTGCAGAAAAAGATACAGTACCCAGGGAGATAAATTGTTCTGAGTGGACCTCCCCTATTTGAACATCTGTTTGAGCAGAAGAGCAATTCTGCAGGCTTCCATCAGTGTGGGGTGTTGCTTTTGCTTGGGAAGGAGAAGTCTAGACCTGTATATTCTTCTAAAATGTTCCAGAGCCCTAACAAAAGCACAACTAGGATTTTTGTGTGCACAGTCAACCACAATACTAATCCACTGTGCATGCATCTAATTGCTGATACAAACAGGAGGGTGTTCCTAGCAATAGCTAGCAAACTGAACTTGAGAGTACTCATCTTGCTGTTGCAGAACATGAACTCTGGCTGGTATATCTTCATTTACAGAACACCTTTTTTTTTGTGTGTGTGTGCCCAGTTTCTTGCAGTATATTTCTAGTGAAGTAAACCCACCTAGTGACGAATCGGATTCTTCATCTGCTCCATCCAAAGAGCAGCTAGAGCAGGAAAAACAACTGCTTCTTTCCTTCAAGCCAGTAATGCAGAAGTTCCTCCATGACCATGTTGACCTACAAGTGAGTGCTTTATATGCACTCCAGGTGCACTGCTACAACAATAACTTTCCGAAAGGTATGTGCATCAAGGTCTTAGCCAAAACTTGTGTCTGTGTATGACATTCAGGTTTGTCACTACATTTCTTAGAGTCAAGAAATTATAAAGCTAATGAAGTTTAAATTTACTTCCACAGGCATGTTACTGCGCTTCTTTGTTCATTTCTATGACATGGAGATCATTGAAGAAGAAGCCTTCTTGGCATGGAAAGAAGATATTACTCAAGAGTTTCCAGGGAAAGGCAAAGCTTTATTCCAGGTAAATTTGCTAACATTAGAGATTGGTGATCTCTGTGGTGATCTCTGCTGCACTGGAATGTTTTGAGAACACTTTTAGATGGTGTTGAAGGCCTGGTAGTATCTAGAAACTTCATGGAGTACTTCACTACTAAAGAGTGAGGCAAGATGAATCTTTTTTTTCTTTACTAGAGACCTACAATTAGTGCAAAGTGTGGATGAAAGATTTTAAAAACAAGTTGCGGGCAGGGGGAAGCAGTGTTATGCAGAAGTACATAGCGGAGAAATAATAAATTAAACCAGTTTTATGTAACTGCAGGTAAACCAATGGCTAACCTGGCTGGAAACTGCTGAAGAAGAAGAATCTGAAGAAGAAGCTGACTAAAGAACCAGCCAAAGCCTTAAATTGTGCAAACATACTGTTGCTATGATGTAACTGCATTTGACCTAACCACTGCGAAACTTCATTCCGCTGTAATGTTTCACAATATTTAAAGCAGAAGTATGTCAATAGGATATCCTCTGCAAAAGGTTTTTGTAGTATGTCTTAATAGTCTACAATAAAAATATTTTAGAGTATCTTTAATGTTTAGATAACAGTGTATTAGCAGCATGCAATAACTACATCATAAGGTCTCGAGCAGAAGCAGTCTGTTGCAAGGGTTTTCTTTGCTGCCAGTTATCATAGGCTGTTTTTAAGTTAGAAAACTGAATAGCAACACTGAATACTGTAGAAATGCACTTTGCTCAGTGTAATACTTGAGTTGTTGCAATATTTGATTATCCATTTGGTTGTTACAGAGAATCCTTAACTGTAATCGATGGTTGTTGCCGTAATAGTATATTGCCTGTATTTCTACCTCTAGTAATGGGCTTTATGTGCTAGGTTTTAATATCCTTGAGCCTGGGCAAGTGCACAAGTCTTTTTAAATGAAACAGTTTACTTGCACAAAAACTTACCAGCTGAAGAGATGGTTTAATGCCCTTTGGAAGAGGTTTTTGTGGGTGTGAAACATGGTAAGAAATTTGAATTGGTCCCTCTATTATAGTACTGAAATTAAGTCTACTTAATTTATCAAGACATGTTCATGCCCTGATTTTATATACTTGTATCTATCAATAAACATTGTGATACTTGACTTGTTTCTGAATGTCTCCCAGTAGAAAAGCTTTTGACCAGCAACTGGTTTACTTAGAGAAGGAAACATCAGTGGGAGTTGACTTAGGCTGGGACCTTCTTAAGATTCTGTTTATAATAATTGTCTTAGCATGCAAATTAATTCTAAATAAGGAATTCTAAATAAGGTCACAGACAAGAATAGACACAACAGATCTGCAGTGAGAGGAGGAGAAAAATTTGCTGAAGAAATAGTAGGGGTTTGCCTTGTGGTCCAATGTACGCTTTACCAGTGTGTGCTTTTTAACTTCCTAATGCTTTGGTCTTTCTGCGGGTCACATGCATGTTTTTTAATCAAGTGGCACTGACTATTATCTGCCTGTCTCTCAAATGGGCAAAAAAACAACCCATAAAACAGCTTAATTATGTTGCATTGTACAGGCTTGAAATGTCATCTATTAAATATGCAAAATACTTTACTTCCTAGAACCTTGTCCTTAGTGAAATTTTTTTTCCTCGTTGATGTTCAGACTTGTAAATACTGAAAGGTGATGTATTTGTAATGGCAAAACAGTAGTGTCTCCTTGACAGAAGCATGTTTTTGCCAGTGCTGGAAGGGCTTTAGTCCACATATTATGTTCTGTATGGCAGGAGTTGAAAAAGTGGAGCGTGAGAAAACTAGAGATGATAAAAGGGTTTGCTTTGAGAGGAGGGATAGCTTGCGTTTATGCACCGTGAAGTACTATGGCTGGGAGAGTGGGTCTGGTTCTCCCATTTGCTGTGAAAGGCAGGTTTCCTAACCCACAGTTACAAGTCTTCTGTGTACTTGTAAGTTAGATTCCTTCCATGAGTTTCTTAAATGACTCGGTAACTTGCTGTGCAGCGTGTAGCCCAGTAAATCAAGGTACTGTGCTTCTGTAAACCAAATTATATTCATAATAGAGTATTTAACTTACTGAATTGCTAACAAGTTCCATGACACTTAAACAGTCTCTGTGTTTTGGAAATGTGCATCTATCAGTAAACAGGAGAGCAGGGTATTTCTGTGGATTCTAGCTCAATTAGAGGAACAGGGAAGCACTAACTATACTTAAACAGAGATCAGGGGCTAGCAGCTTTTGATGCAGCTGTGACACGGGGTCTCCAAAAAAGCTGTTAATGGTATGTTGTTCCTTCTGGTCATGACACAGTTGTCTCCCAATTTAGGAAAGTACTTCCTTTCCTATCTGTAGTGTAATATAGTTGATGGTACATGTATAGGGGCTGCAGGTTTAAACCTTGCTTCATGTCCATTCTTGAGTAGAGAAAAAATGCTTCTCAAGTGGATGTCCTGTGTACTCAGTGGGGTTCTGCAGTTAAATACCTTTTATTGGGATAGAGGTACATGTATAGTTTCAAGGTTCATTTACTCCTAATTAATTCAAAATTCTGCTGTTTCAGAATTGCAGTTTTGAGTGTAGTAATACGTGGTGTAGTGAAATCTAGTATCAATAATGGGGTTGTATTTCTCTAAGTATTGGTTTTGTTTGTGTTTAACCTTAGCTGTTGCAGCTGATCAGTTTAGTGGTGCATGACTGCATACTGCTACGTGTCTGCTTCAGTGATAGGTTACTAGATAAACAGGGCACTTCATTCTCCTGCGCTGCAAAGCTGAGGGTGGGGAGGACTGTACAAGTCCATAAAAGAAACAGTCCTAATTGGTAGCTTACAATGGAGTATTCTGTAGAGATGAGAGAAAACTAAGCGATAGTAGAAGTAGGTGAAAGTAAAACAATCCCCAGTCAAAACTTCATGAGAACAGAACCAGGAACAGCAATGTAACTTTTTTGCCAAAGTTTTGGATAAGGTTAAGCTGGCAGCTGTAGATGGTTTGAATAGCCTACCTAAGCCTTGTATTCTTGCCTAGTCTAAAATGTGATTGCTACAATCGTATGTACTTATGCATAGAGGCTTTGCTGCTTGGTGTGTTTGTAGTTTAAGTCACAAAGTCAGGAACTCCTAGGGAAGAGTGAAACTCCTGTAATAACCATGCCCAAATATGTGGAACAGAACATAGGCAATACAAAATGCCACTAAACTTAGGTAATTTTTCTCCATTGTGAGCTACTTAACAAAATGTATGTGCAGTTATTATGAACAGATCTGGTTTCTTGAAGCTGGTATAAAAATGGCTCTTAAACTGCAGTGTATACATCAGCGTGGTATTTCTGGAGATGAGGAGAGGGAGCACATTACCTTCATCTTTGAGTTTCTACTGCTTGACTGCAGTCCTGGTGACAAGTCAGTCTGAAAAGGGGGTGGCTGTTCAGTTGGGCTAACTGTTGTGTGGCTTTTAACTGCATTGTACTATTAGATTTTTAAACAGTGAAGTCAGTCACAATTAAACCAATATAACTGATAATGGCTTAGTACTTTGTTAGGCATAACAACTCTGCTCACTGGAGAGCTGGAAGAAATTGCAGATTAAACACATTTCATACCTGTTACAGTAATGACCTTTACTTTCTGGAATATTGAACTAGGTTGCAGTTACCATTCGGGAAGCTTCACTTCCATGTGTTGGAGTTGCCTGGTGTACTTGGCAGCGGAGTGCTAGAAAGCATCTGTTCGAGTGAGTTGATCCGCATCTGATTTAAAGGTGCCTGCAGGAGAAGTTATGGGTTGGTTATTGAAAATTACTATCAATTGTGACTTCTTAACCTTTTCCAAGAATTTCAACAAGCATAATAGTTGGACTGTTGTTTATTCACTGTTTATACCAGCAGAAGACCAGATAATCTCTTTTTCAAACTGGAATTGTTTTGCAGTTGCAAAGGGTGGTGAGACACTGGAACAGGTTGCCCAGGGAGGTGGCAGGTGCCCCATCCCTGGAAACATTCAAGGTCAGGTTGGATTGGGGCTCTGAGCTGAAGATGTCCCTGCTCATTACAGAGGGGTGGGTAGATGACCTTTAAAGGTTCCTTCCAACCTGAACTACTCTATGATTACAGAATAAGCTTCACTTCTGCATGACTGAGAATTCTCTGGAACAGAATCAGGCCTTTACCTGTGAGATTCAGTGTCTGAAAAAGATTCTTCAGGTAGAAGGAGTTGTTGAAGGGGGTGGCTTTTAAGGGGGTGATGTTAAAAGTGATAACAGGCTCATCTGGATTCATTTTACAGAGCCCACATCCATTTCCTCTAACAGATTCCATATGGCTGGTAGTTGGAGACGAGTGAAGTGTTATTTTTAATGAGCTGACTAAGCAGCCATGACAACAGAGTTACACTTGGCATAAATACATGGCTGGAGCAAGGAAAGCAACTCTGAGGGGGATTTTTATCTTCAACTATTTTGAAGTTTGTAACAAATCTACATTTAGTTTATGTTAGCAGTGAAAGTGGCTGAAGGATCTGATGTGTGAAGTATTCCTAGAATGTTATAATCTAAGAAGCTCTGCAAAACACTTAAGCCTGTGAAAGGACAAGGGATCTTTAAGTGGTTTGATCATGTATATAGAAGATACAGAGTTCATAGAATTTGTTTTGTTACAAAATAAATGTTTTTGGGAGGACAAAGTGAAATTTGATAAAGCAAGGGTAAGTTAGCAAGAACATGACAGTTGAAATACAGCTGAAGGTTTGATTTGCATTTCTAGGGTGATTTTGTTTAACCCTTTAAGCAATTATTGCGTATCCTTTCAGACTTCATAGACAGTTGACAATTTAACTACTTTAGAGTGTAGAAAACTGGGTGACTGGCCTTTCTCCAAGAGGAAGTTTGCAGATTTGAATTAAATATTCAAAAGAATACAAAATTATACCAAAGTTAGAGTTCATGGCAGCAGAGGCTTGCCTTGCTTTGGCTGTTAATCAGGGCTAGTCCTGTCCTCTGCAGCAGCACAGGGACCCAGGGTATGATCAGATAACTGGAAAATACTTGTAACTGGGATTGGTCTCTTACCCCTTTTCCAATGTATTACTCAAATTATAAACCCGAAGTCTTAACGCACTTCTGTGTTGGGAATTTACATTCTGAGGAAATGAACGCTGCAGATCCCTGGGATACTGTACTACTGTTACGGTTCAGTGACAAGGTGACATCATACAAACACAAGGCTGGAGAAGCAGTTCACAGCTGCTCCTTCAGAAAACATTGCTCTTCACAGGGAAGGTGTAAACAAGGTGCCAGCCTGTGCACTTGACCATCTCTGCATTCCTTCTGAGCCAGATGCATAAAGCAGTGGAAATACTTATCGTCTTGGTTTTTTCTGTATGTATATATATACACCCATATGTATATTTTGTGTAAGTACATACATATCCCTGTGTAATTGTATTCCTTCTGTTTCTCTTACACAAATGCTGTTTAGTTACTGTGTTGTTTTAAGCTTACAGGGCTTGCTGCATTATTTCAGATTCTGATTAATAGCAGAAGCAATAGCACTCATCCTCCTTCCCACTCTTGCTGGGGGAAGTGTCCTCGGGTACAGCTAACATTTTAAATATTCTTAAAACACATAGCGCAGTGCGCCCCGCTGAGAAGTATAGGACTGTCTCAACTTCAACGAAACCTGTTTTGAAGTGGAGCCCGAGCCTGACCTCAGGAGGAAGGGCCAAGCGTGACCAAGAACTGAGAGCCCAGGGCTGATGCACCTCGCTTCTTTCAGGACGGCTGGGCTTACTCACCAGATCAAGTGAACATTGCCATGGTGCCCTGCAATCTCCCATAGTTTTCCACCTATAGAACTGAGGTAAGGACAATAGCAACTTGATGAACTTGCAAGACTATCAAGTAGATATGATGAAAGGCTGTTCATAAGTTCAATTAGATGAATAGTGCAGTAGACCTACAGTGGTGGTAGGGATCATAATGCAATAAAACCCCACCCCATCCCTGCATTTTGGCACAAATATACAATAGGTGAAACCTGGGGAGGCGCCCTGAAGTAAGGAGGAGTATATGGATTGTAGGAGTCTGGAGTATCTCTGATAAAATACAGCAGTCATAAGCCATGGCAAAGAACATGTTATTCTATCAGC